AAAAAGATAAAGGAGCGTATTCGGAAATAATTTTTCATTTAAAGAAAAAATAATGGCATTATCACAAGAAAAAATTGAGGGAATTGCATGTCAAGTAATTAAAACACTATATGCTAAATTTGAGACATTTCCGGAAGATTCTTCCGGAATTAGAAATGCCCCTTTTCATAGAGCATTCCTTAGAGCATTTCAAGATAGAATAGAAAATCATGTTACTGATATTCCGGTTTTTATTAGTTTAAGTAGTTGGTTTCACGGTTTAAATACTACGCTTGGACAATCCTTTTTTGAAAATGTTTCACATATTCTATGTGGTGGAATGAAACGAGAATTTAAGACATTAAAAATCTCTCAAATCCAACAAACTATTATTACAGATATTATTACAGATTTGAAAAATAATACGTATACTCCAAATTTAATAAGAGAAAATAATTTGATTTATCAAAATAATATCCCACAAGACAAAGAAGTTCCTAATTTTACAGCTGATTGTTACTTTGAAGATACTGAAAAAATCATTGCTATTGAATTGAAATCGGTTAAACCCAATAGTGGAGTTTTTAAAAATGAAAAAGACAAGATGCTTTCTGCAAAAGCGGGTCTAAAAAATGTTTATCCGGAAAAAAATATTTATTTCTATTTGGGATTTCCATTTGATCCGTTAAGTGCGACCCCTACCGGATACAATAAGATAGCATTTATGAATTATAGTGTAGATTTTACAAAATTTTTTTCAGCCGATGAAGTTTTATTAGCGGATGAATTATGGGATTTTTTATCTAATGATAACCATACAATGCAACAGATCTTAGCAATTATAAACGCTATTGCTTTTCCTGATTTTATGGAAAAATATAATTTCCTAAATGAGGCACAAAATAGAACTTCAAATAGAGAACGTTATATCCAACTCTTAAATGACTGGAAATTATTTTCAGAAATTTTATTAATTACTCATGAATCTCTATTATTGAATAAAATAGCATCTCATCGAGAAATGATAAGGAAATTTAATCAACCCTTATTCAAAAACGGAAATTATAATATCGAACGATTTAATGCTCTTCGACCTTTTCTTGATTGAATATTAGTTTTTATTTCCCAAATAATACAATCCTTTTAAGGTATGTAACGAATCATTAATAGCAATTTCTTGAGTTAAAGGGGCATAAATAGAGGCTAATCCTCCGGTGGCGATTACCAAGGCTTTGGGGTCGTGAATTTCGTGCTTTATTTTTTGAATCATTCCTTCTACCATAGAAACAAATCCGTAAATCATACCGCTTTGCATACAATGCTCGGTATTTTGTCCTAAAATAGTTTCAGGTTTTTTCAATTCAATACTCGAAAGTTGAGCGGTATTTCCTACCAAACTTGTTAAAGAAGTATGTACTCCGGGAGCAATTACCACTCCTAATAACTCTCCGGACTGATTTATCCCTGTAAAAGTGAGAGCCGTCCCGAAATCTACCACTATTTTATTCCCTTGGGGGTACAAGGCTTGTGCTCCTACTGCGTTTGCATATAAATCCGTCCCTATTTGGTTGGAATGATGAATTACCGATGAAGGAGTCTCTCTATCCACTACTACTGCGGTTGTTTTATGGAGTTTTTCTAAGGCTTCTCGGACATTTGCGGTAATAGGAGGTACAACGGAGCCGATGATAATTTTAGTGATTTCTTTAGGATTAATTCCGTAATGATGATACATACTTTTAAAATTCACATACATTTCATCGCTGGTACGATAGGGTTTAGTATTGATAATCCAAGAGAGTTCACAGGTATCGTCTTTAAAAATTCCAAATCGGATATTCGTATTTCCTATATTTACTACTAAGGTCATAAAATAAGTGAGTATTTAAGAGTGCTATTTTTTTTATTTTCCATTATATAAATTCATGGTAGGGGTAATGCCGGAAAAGACAAAGGATTGGCAGGCTTGAGAACTTACCTCTATTCGTTCGTTTAATATAATTTGTTCTTGGGGATGCCACTCTCCGAGCACAAAATCGATTTGTTTTCCTTGAGGAAATTCTTTTCCAATTCCAAATTTCAAGCGATTATAGTCTTGGGTATGCAGGATTTCTTCAATGCTTTTCAAGCCGTTGTGTCCGGCTGCACTTCCTTTTTTCTTGATACGAATCGTCCCTAAATCCAAATGTAAATCATCTACAAGAATTAACACATTTTCAAGAGGTATTTTTTCGGTTTTCATCCAATAAGAAACTGCATTTCCACTGAGGTTCATATACGTATCGGGTTTCAAGACCAAGACTTGTTTTCCTTTATAGGTACATTTCGCCAAAGCTCCGAATCGAGCCGAGGAAAAAGCTCCCTGTAAATCACTTACCAAGCGGTCCGCGATTTTAAATCCGATATTATGCCGGGTATTTTCGTATTTTTCTTCTTTATTTCCCAGTCCAACGATTAAAAATTTCATCTCTAAAAAATTAATTTCTAATAAGAAGGGTTTGAGTGGAAGGATCATACGAGGTAGGGTATCTACGAGGAGAAACATTTGAAGTTCCATTAATAGGAGCTCCGTCTAAAAGATTCCAAGTAGCTCCGTCGTTCGGACAAAGAATATAAAAATCATCCACTACTTCTAAGGTAGTATTGGATCCGGGGCATAAATGAGGGGCATTCCTGTCATACGCCACAAATCCGGAGGCATTACGTACAATAATCAACCCTCGTGTTCCTTCGCCTGCAGCTCCGGAAGTTTCTACATATCCTCCAACATAATTAAGTTCTTGATACTGTGGAAGATTCAGATTGATGAGGGTATTGATGGTAGAAGTAGGGAAACAATCTACCGTTCCGTCATCGGAAGAACAAGAATTGAAAAAAAATAAAGAAAAATTAGAAACTATTAAAAAAATTACTACCTTTGGCTTCATAAAATTAGTACTTTTGTGAAAAAATAGAGAACCGCAAGTTAGCGGATTTTTTTATTTTGTACAAGAACTATTTAATTTAGTAAAACTAAAAATCAATATGAATTATATAACGAAAGAAGGATTAGAAAAATTGCGTTCGGAACTTCATCAGTTGGAAGCCATAGAACGCCCGAAAGTAACACAACAAATAGCCGAAGCCAGAGATAAAGGAGACCTGTCTGAAAATGCCGAATACGACGCAGCTAAGGAAGCTCAAGGGCTTTTAGAGATGCGTATTTCCAAATTAAAAGACCAAATAGCCAACTCTAAAATCATCAATCCGAGCCTATTGGATGACACAAAAATAGGAATTTTAAGTACGGTAAAACTTAAAAACAAAACAAGTAACCAAGAGATTGTCTATACGCTGGTTCCGGAAAGTGAAACGGATTTAAAGTCGGGAAAAATATCGGTAAATACTCCTATTGCAAAAGGACTTATGGGGAAAGAAATAGGCGAAACAGCAGAAATTGTGCTCCCCAACGGAAATAAACTTACCCTTGAAGTATTAGGAATTTCGGTTAATGAATAATTTGATTTTTGATGCCAACTCTATTTACTAAAATCATTCAAGGAGAAATTCCGTGTTATAAAATTGCGGAAAATGACTATTGTCTTGCTTTTTTAGATATTTTCCCTTTAAAAAAAGGTCATGTATTGGTAGTGCCGAAAAAAGAAGTAGATAAACTCTTTGATTTACCTGAAAAAGACTATACCGAATTGATGAATTTTTCTTATAAAATTGCTCATGCGATAGAAAAAGCGATTCCCTGCAAAAGAATAGGGGTTGCGGTCTTAGGAATGGAAGTACCCCACGCTCATATTCATTTGATTCCATTAGATTCCGAAGGGGATTTAAACTTTAAAAATCCGAAACTTACCTTCTCTGAACAAGAAATGAAATCCATTGCCGAAACCATCAAAAACGAAATCCGCTAATTATCTCCCTATCCATCGGGTTAAAATAACTGCTGTTGCCATGGCTACATTTAAGCTTTCGGTTTGCTTATGGGTGCTGAATTGAGGAATAGTTATTTTTTTTGTTCCTAACTGCAAAATAGCTTCGGAAATTCCGTTTCCTTCGTTTCCTAAAACTAAATATCCTTCTTCCGGAAGTTTTGCAGAAAATACATTTTCTCCGTTAAGAGTAGTGGTAATAATAGGTAAATCAACTTGGGATAAAAAGTCTTTTAACTCGGTATAAAACACATTCACTCGAAGAAAACTCCCCATAGAGGATTGAATTACTTTTGGATTATAGACATCTACTGTCTCTTTACTGCAAATAATTTGTTCGATACCAAACCAATCACATAGACGAATAATTGTACCTAAATTTCCCGGGTCTTGAATTTCATCCAATACTAATTGCAATCTTTTGGTAGGAATCAATTTATTTGGTTTAATTTTTGCCACTGCAAGAGAGGAGGAAGGAGTATTTAAAAAACTTATCTTTTTCATTTCTTGAAAACCGATGAGTTGTGTTTGAGGAAAGAGAGCAATTAATTCTGATTGAGGGTCGGTCGTATAAAGTTGATGAATCTCAAAAGGAGTATTTTTTATTTCTTTGATGATTTTATTTCCTTCGATGACAAACAAATTGTACTTTTGTCGATATTTTTTTTTATCTAACGATTGAATTAGTTTACTATTGGAATTACTGACTGTCATAAAAAATAAACCTTTGAAAGCGGCGATAAAGGTATTGCTAATTTTATTTGTAAGCAATCTATTTTTTTATTGCACTACCAATAAAGTCCCTCAAGGAAAATATTTACTGACTAAAAACAAATATAAAGTAGAAGGAAAACCTAATTTTTCCAATGATTTACCGGAATATGTGAAACAAAAACCCAACTCAAAGATGTTTTTTGTCTTTCCTTTCGGGCTGTGGATGTATGACTTTTCCGAACCCGACTTAGATTCCTCTTTTGAAGAATTTGATGCCATCATTCCTAAAGATCGTACGCAAAAACGCTTGGATTCCATCTTAATCAAAAACGGATTACCCAATAAAACCGGACGCTCCTACTGGCTACAACGTATGTTTTTCAATATTGGCTCCCCTCCGGTAATTATCGACTCCTCTTTGGCGGAACTTTCTACCAAACGATTAAAAAAATTCTATCAAAAAAAAGGCTATTTCGATGCAAAAACTTCCTTTTCCGTTCACCCCACTGCTCCTAAAAAAGCCTCTATTACTTATACCATTATCCCCAACCAAGTAACGGAAATCAAAACCTACGATTACGATATTCCCTATCAAAACATGCTTACGCTTTATGAAAAATACAAAAAAAACAGTTTTGTAGAGACCGGGAAACCCTTGGATCAATTTGTACTGACGAATGAGATTGCTCGCTTGGAGGAAATTTATAAAAACAACGGCTACTGGGGCATTAACTCTAAATCTCGGGAAATTTTTTTTGAAACCGATACCTTAAACAAGAATAAAGAAGTCCCGCTAAAATTACGTGTGCAACGAGATACATTGGTAGATTCTTCCAATACCTTCAAGCAGTATTATTTCGGAAAAATTACCATCCATGATTATAAAGATTCCCAAAAAAATCAATTAAAAAATATAGATGAGACTGAATATCAAGGCTATTACATCAAAAGAAAAAACGATAAATACTACTTGAATACTTTTACCAACATGATGATTATCGAACCCGGTAAAATGTATCGCCTAAAAGATGAAATTACGACTAAACGAAGAATATACGCCAATAATAATTTTGATATTTCTAATTATGTAACCTCCTATGCAAAAGACAGTTTGATAAATGTAGATATTTATCTAACCAATAAATTAAAATACGATTTGGATTTTTCTACGGATGTACAATATTCCGAAATATTTAACTTTGGACTTTCACCCGGGGTTACTTTTAAAATGCGTAATTTAAGAGGAGGGGCAGAGAATTTAGAAATAGGACTGCAAGGAACATTCGGAACAGTGAACTTAGAAGATACCTCCGAAGACTATTTTTTCAATGCCTATGAACTCGCTCTACAAGCAAAAATCACCTACCCCCGAATGCTTTTTCCTTTCGCTAATAAGTTTATTTCCAAACGATTACTCCCTTCTTCAGATTTATTTTTTAGAATTAATCAACAACATAACATAGGGCTCGGAAGGATTAATGTCAATACAGGATTAAATTACTATATTCAGCCTCGAGAAACCATTAAACAACGTTTGAATTTATTAAATACCCAACTTTCAAAAATTACCAATCCGGGAAATTACGATAATTTATTTCCAAATTCGGTAGATACCCGTAATCAGGTATTTAATGATTATTTTAGTGTCTATCCGGATGCAGAAGAAGAATATGCAAAGGGACAAATTTCAGCAGATAATCTTGAAAGTGAAATTATAGCCAACACCGACTATTTGGACGAATTAGATGCTGAGAATCCTACTTTATATACTACTTTTTATAAAAATTATGTTAAAAAGTACATCAATACCACCAGCACCCTTACCAATTCTTTTATTTATGAATTTGAATACAATCAACGAGTAAATCCTCTGCGGACTAACCCTTTTTATTTGAATTTTAAGGTAGAATATTCCGGATTGCTATTGAGTGCGATTGATAAAATTTTTAAGTTAGACGGAAAAATTTTTGATATTACCTATGCTCGTTTTGTAAAGTTTGACTTAGATGTACGAAAGTATTTTACTCTTTCTCCTCATAGTCAGTTAGCTATGAGATTTTTCGGAGGAATTGCCGTTCCTACTAACGGACAAACCACCGTTCCGTTTGATAAAAACTATTTTATGGGAGGGAGTAATGATTTGCGTGGCTGGACTCCCTTTTCGGTAGGTCCTGCGGATGAACCGTTCTTTGATAATTTCTTTGCAGTAGATAATTTTAAACTTCTTTCCAGCATCGAATACCGCTTCCCACTTAAAAACAGTTTATATGGAGCTTTATTCGTAGATGCCGGAAATGTATGGGGAATAGATAAAAACGTTCCGGAAACTTTGTTTACATGGAAAGATTTTTATAATCAATTAGCGATAGGTCCGGGATTGGGTTTTCGATATGATTTTAAATATTTAATGCTTCGTTTTGATTTAGCCTATAAACTTGCAGATCCGCAACTTCCTTTGGGAGAAAGGTTCAGCTTTAAAAACATTCAGATTTTTAAACCGACGATTAATTTTGCAATTAACGTTCCTTTTTAGAGG